AAATCCTGCCTACCGCAAGGACATAATATTTTTTAGGGTTAAGTTCAACCCTCCCTCAACGGCTCATTTGTGAATATTTCTTGTTCAAAATTTTACAGAATTTAGTTCAAACCTTATGTATTAATGTAGAATAAATGAAATTTGCAAAATTGTCATAGGATCTTTTAAAAAATTCTGGAAAATAGGCTTTTTTTTGTGGTTCTAAACCCGGATAACCCCTTAACAACTTCATGGCCAATAGAAAATTAGTAACCCGAGTAGGATCACAAACCTCTGCAATACACTCTTTAGGAAATGGAATACCCCAGGGTCACCTATCTCTGTCGTCCTATTCATAATAGCATTCAACAAATTAAGCAACATAATTTCCCTACACAAAGAGATATACTTCAGTGCTTACGCGGATTACTTCTTTCTAATAATAAACCTAGATAAACGCAAAAATACAAATTATGACCTAAACACACTCTTCACTGAAATAAAAACATGGGGCGAGTACTCTGGTGCGTCTCTCTCACCAACAAAATGCCAACATTTGCACATTTGCAGAAAACATAACTGCATTTGCACGATCACCTGTAACCACGCCAACATAAAAAACTCCTCATAACTCAAGTTACTTGGACTCTGAATAAACCACAAATGGTAGGTAGGTAAAAGCGGTGAGGCCGCCCTGGCCGCCTCTAATTAGATCTGAGCTCCGTTTTGATCCACGCCCTCGATTTACTGTTGTCAGCGCCCTCCTCAGTACCAGCCCGTGTCATTCAGGTAAGCTAGGATGGCAGCTACTGGCTGCCTTCTAACTTCCCCTAGTGACTCGAGTTGGTGTGCTCCGAAGTGTCGGGCTCTTTGTCTGTTGAGTGCCGGGCAGTGGCAGTGGCCGCCGCCAAATTATGAAAATAACGGCGCGCCGCTGGTGCGGCACCGGCGCAGCACCGGCGCGGCCTTCGGTGTTATCATTCTTTATAAAACTTAAAAAAAAATAAATAACTCATTAATTGGATGTGTCCCCTTCTTCCTGGACTAGACTACCCTCGCTTCCTTCCATGGAAGTGGTATGTGTGCTTTTTTGATGCATGCTTGGAAGATAAAAAACAAATACAAGTGGAACACCCACATCAATGCCCTCATCCCAGTTCTTTCAAACAAACTCAACATAATAAAATGCCTGGCTAGCCCACGATTTAACTGCAACACGCACACATTGCATAACGTAACAAAAGCAATACTCATATCAAAAATCGACTACGGACTACACATATATGAAAAATTCTCGAAAACCACTATTAACAAATTAAAAACTTCATTCAACGCAGCAATCCGACTAGCTCTGGGAGCATTCCGCACTACACCCATCCACAACTCACTATACGAAGCAAACATTTCAACAATAGAACAAAAACGCGATCATTTAACAGCAATACCAACAACTCACACACATCGATCTACTGAAAGATAGCACAAGGAGAAGTCTCTCGCCTTGACCAAATAAAGTTTACGATTGGGCCATACATTCCTAACACACAAACATCACCTAGATCAGCGATGGGCACGAGATCTAACGGTTTGAGCAACAGCTCGCTGAAAAAAAAAAACAACAACAACCCCCAGCGTTGCGAAGCGTGCGAGCCGAGAAAATACACTGACAAAAACTTTTTGAGTAGATCAATATCTTCAGCCATTTTTGCGTGCATTTATGTCCGCCTAAGAAAAACAACTGCAAAAAAATCCAATCTTTTTTCTTTAGTGCAGAAGTCAACGCTAGCCGCGCAGGTCCCTTTAAAATTGTTCTTGTTTTTGGGACGATGTGCGAGTTCGGGATCGCGGGGATGTGCTCGCTACCTGCGCCAAAGGTCAGTGTGGTTGTTTTTGTAAATCTTCACGGTTCGCTGATCGCGAGGACCGACTGCAATTGTGCGACTTGCTGGCGCCTTCGAAAAAAGATAACGGTTTGAGCAGTGTGAGCAAATTGAGCCACGGCGTGCCCATCGCTGACCTAGATAGAACAACACAACGAAACTGCCCACTTTGCCATACATACACTCCTGTCACTATAGATCACATCCTAAACCTTTGCCTTACAATAGGTCATATAAAACAAAATATCCTTAAAAAAATAAACGCCACAAACTATTTGGCATTTTTATACCCTTGCAGGGTATTATAATTTCAGTCAGAGGTTTGCAACGCAGTGAAGGAGACGTTTCCGACCCTATAAAGTATATATATTCTTGATCAGCATCAACAGCCGAGTCGATCTAGCCATGTCCGTCTGTCCGTCTGTCCGTCTGTCCGTCCGTCTGTCCGTCTGTCCGTCCGTCTGTCCGTCTGTCCGTCCGTCTGTCCGTCTGTCCGTTTCTACGCAAACTAGTCCCTCAGTTTTAAAGCTATCTGAATGAAACTTTGCATATAGTCTTCTATATACTCTCACTGCTACAGCTGTGTTCACTGAAATAGCAGTGCGACAGAGGAACAACTTCAAAACCTTTTTTTGTACATATTCCTTTTTGCAAGCTGATCTATTGCACATTGTTTTTGTAAAATGGAACATAAAGATAAGAATCGAGAAAAAAATTCCGTTAGATTTGCTCTATTTTTATGTTTTATTGATATTTTTTCACATATGCAGCTCGTTTTGGCCGATCACTGAAATAGCAGTATTTAATTTTCTTTCGCAAAAAGTGCCGAAATTTCTTTTAATTTTGTAAAAAATGAGTTTAATCGTCGTTATTATAGTTTATACTATAATACACCTTTACAACGCAAAAAAAATTATTTTAGTGGGCGCAGGACCTCACTGCTCCATGAGAGAAAGGTATCAGATTACTTAGCCTAGAAAGAAGGGCAAAACATGTAAAGAGACTCCAAATCTTTCAAATTGTTCTTTTAAAATAGTTTATAAGGTATAAAATATGAACCGAACCCAAAAAAACCGAGGTACGATTAGCAAAACCACAATTTTACAGGCTCGACGCGTACTTCGCTTCAGCAAAGCTCAGTCATGGGACCATTCGCCGGGGACTTATTGAATAAATTTTAGCTTCGCGAAGTCCATGGAAAATGTCACTGCTTGGTTAAAGGGATATCAAGGCCAGATTGGAGTTCGCCAATAGTCACTTGAACTGCCACTATTCAAATGGCGTAATATCCTTTGGACAAATGACTCCAAACTGGTTTTATTTGGTGGAATAGGACAAGACAATATGTCCTTCGACCTCCAAATACATAGTACCACCCAAACCACACGCTGAAGACAGTAAAGCACGGTGGCCTAAAAATCATGGTATGGGTATACTTTTCATACAACGTTGTGGGTCCCGTATATATGGTCGGTGGGATCAAAGACCATTATGTTTATGTCTAAATATTAAAAACTGTCTTGCAGCCGTATCCTGATGAAAATATGCCATTAATTTGGACATTTCGGCAGGACAGTGACCCTAATCATACCAGCAAGGTGGCCAAGGAGTGGGTTCTTAAAGAAAAAGTGGATGCAATGCCATGGCCTGCACAGTCCCCGGATATTATTCCGATCGAAAACGTATGGGGGACGTCAAGGGCTACGTATTAAAGAAGTTTCCGACTTCTAAGCCGCAGCTTTGGCGATTTGTGCAGGAGGAATGAGACCATAATCCCCTCAAGCGTTGCTAAGACTTGGTGGACTCCTTGCCACCCAGGTATGAGGCTATGATAGCTTCTAAAGGCTATTTAACAAAATATTAGATCATAGTCAATTAGAATTTAAGAAGAAATAGGTTTCTTATACGATATTTTTAAATTTATGAAGAATTTTAGTTTTTCACTGCTATTTCAATGATCGGCATAATAAAGACCTTTTTTGTTGTTATTAGCTATATCTTCTAAAAGGTTTATGTTACCTAAATTAAATGATTGTGGTATTGTTAATAATTGAATACACTAAGCCTTTATGAAAAAAAATTTTATAAAAATAGTGTTTGGAATAGTATTTTCCAATATTAAACGTGCAGGTCGTGGGGCACTGCTATTTCAGTGAACACAGCTGTATATATGTCGGAACGGGTCGGATCGGACGACTATATCATATAGCTGCCATACAAATGTTCGATAAATATTTAGAAAAAAAATTATTACTTGGCTGTTTTTCAATATTATTCCATCATTTTTGAGATGTAGCCATTTTATATTATTATAGAATTTTGGTAAAAATTTTATAAAAATCGGACCACTATATCTTATAGCTGCCATAGGAACAATCAGGAAAATAATCGAAAAAAAATTATAACTTCGTTGTTTTTCAACGTATTTTAATCTACTTTGACACATGGGCTTCTGGTACTATTTCAAAATTTTGGTATAAATTTTATGAAAATCGGACTACTATATCTTATAGCTGCCATAGGAACAATAGGGAAAGTAATAGAAAAAATTATAACTTCGTTGTTTTTCAACGTATTTTCATCTACTCTGAGATATGAGCTTTACTTATTATTATAGAATTTTGGTATAAATTTTATAAAAATCGGACAACTATATCTTATAGCTGCCATAGAAGAGATCGGTAAATGTATAAAATATATAAAGCTGGGAATGTATAACTGTAACTGTCAAACTGTAAACATAATAAGTATAGGTAAAATGTTATGAAACTCTATTTAGTGTCTGTTTTCGGCATTATAATTTTTAAGCTTTAAGCTGAAATGCACTCGATAATAAAAACACGTAGGACTCTCGGGTTTTTGCGCGACGTGCGTTGGATGTCTTTATTGAATCGTAGGTAAATCGGTACTAACTAAGAACAAAACTAAAGCTAGGTAGAGCGGATTAGAAGCTCTAGGACTGGAAGTCCGGAGGAAGAGGGAGAGAAAAGACGTGCCGAAGTTAGCTTCCTTTCTCGTTTATACTTACAGTTTTATTTTTATCTTTAAAAATTTGTTTTTATGTTGATATTTTAAAAAAGTATTCGTATATTGTTAAAAAAAAATATATAAATATTAAAAAAAAATTCTATATATATTTAGGAATCGAGTACAGGAACACGATCACGCAGCGCAACTCCAGACTCTTTGGATTCCATACAAGTCGACGAAGTTTGGCGAAATTCTCTTATGTAAGTAGTTTTTTATATGATATCTGTGATTTATATAGTCTAAAATTTAACTAGGCCAAACGTTGTTCGAGTTTTTGAGAACAACAGTGAAGCCAATATTAAAACTATTCAGCAGTCGAAAGGAACACATTTAAAACAGAAGTTGCATCGAACGCCCAGTGTGCCACTTAAAAGTTCAACGTCTGCGGATATATTTCGTGGCTCTCATGTGCGATGTGATATTCCATTATATTCTGCGCATGGGGTTGAGTTACTTGGATATTCCCGAATTGGAACCATACACTTACCACGAAATCGATCCGGATCAGACCCATCTTGCTCTGTCGGGTAAGCTTTACAAAATATATATTATATTAGAAACCATTACATAACTGTAATTTAATTTAGACGAGATGGTGGTACTTTTATACGGGAGTCCCAGAGTGAAAACAATACGTCTTCGGGTGATTCCAGCGACGAGTACATGAGTAAATCAAAAATAAAAGATCAGAAGGAGCAGTCCCAGTTAGAAAGTCAGTGCAGTAAAAGTCATCCTCCGCAACAGCGTGATGGCCCAAGCTTTGAAAGCTATTACCGTGATACCTTAAGTCCAGATGGCGTAGAAAAAATTGACTCATATGAAACTTCTTTGAAATTATTCTCAGACATCGTTTTAATAAGTGAAATTGATCTTAAGCATTTACAAAAAACCCTATGGTTGGAACTTGCTACCATATTTGATCGTAACCAAGTGTCATTAGACAAACGAAAACCGTTTAAACGTCGTCGAAAAGAGGAGGGTAACCTCTTCGGTGTATCACTGAACGCCCTCATACGCCGTGATCAGCAAGTTACAGGCACTGATTCTACTCTAGTTCCAATATTTTTGGAAAACTTGCTTACCGAACTATTGAGACGTGGTTCTCGAGAAGAAGGAATTCTTCGAATCGCTGGGCATAAACAAAAGGTAAGTGTTTAATTTTATTTATGCAGTATAACCACTTTAGTTCTAGCTCCCTAGCCAATACGTTATATGAAAGTTTTTGAACTTTTGCTAAATGTTAACATAGTAATTTTTGTTATTTTCTCTAACTTGAATGTTAATTATATGATACAATTTTCTATTTTCATTCAAAGGAAATGTAGGTCCTATTTATACCAGGCTACGTTATTGCGTTAACTCAGTAAACGTATATTTTTTTACTAGTAGTTTTAAGTGATTGGAAAAGGTTGGGTCCAAGTTGCCTTCACACATCGATAAGAAGAGATTTGGTCGATTTTCGTATTGTTGTTCATTTTCGTAATTTTTATGTTTCAAATAATTTCAAACAAGCTGTCAAAAACTAACGCAAGTTTTGTAGTATAAACATGCGTCTTGCGTTATTGCGTTAATTTCGATTTCGACAGGTAACTCAGGTCGGTGTAAATTAGGGTTGTCGAAATATTTAAAAATATCGTATCGATGATATTTTTTTTTTGAAAAAAATATCAAAATGATATTTGATATATCAAAAAAAAAATCGATATATCAAATATTTTTGATATTTTTGTTTTATTATTATTTTTTTTAATTTCAATAACCACTAAACATTAACTCACATACGATCTTAAATTATATTTTTCGATTTTTATTTTATATTTATTAATAAATGAAAGAAAACAATATTTATTTTTACTTTCTTTTGCTTTTATTTATATTAAAATCAAATCAGAACAAAAATTTATCTTATATGAAAGATAATAAAAACATGCTTAAGTAATAATAAAGCAAACGTTTTCATTATACCCTTGCAGGGTATTATAATTTCAGTCAGAAGTTTTGCAACGCAAGGAAGGAGACCTTTCCGAGCCTATAAAGTATATACATATATTCTTGATCAGCATCAACAGCCGAGTCGATCGAGCCATGTCCGTCTGTCCGTTTCTACGCAAACTAGTCCCTCAGTTTAAAAGCTATCTGAATGAAACTCCGCATAAAGTCTTCTATATACTCGAAACGGGCCGGATCGGACGACTATATCATATAGCTGCCATACAAATGTTCGCTACATTTTTAGAAAAAAAATTCTAACTTGACTGTTTTTCAACATTTTTGCATCATTTTTAAAATATGGCCATTTTATATTTTAGAATTTTGGTATGTTTTATGAAAACAACTTCGTTGTTTTTCAACGTTTTTTCATCTACTCTGAGATATAGGCTTATTTTATTATTTCAGAATTTTGGTATACATTTTATGAAAATCGGACAACTGCCATATATCTGCCATAGAAACGATCAATAGACGTAGAGAAAATGTAAAGCTGGGAATGAAAAACTGTAACTGTAAAACTGTAAACATAATAGGAATAGGTAAAATGTAATGAACTAATATCTGCAAGAGTTTACAAACTTCGTGGTGCCGAAGTTAGCTTCCTTTCTTGTTTTAGGTTCAGTTTCATTTTTTCCGCCGAACTAAGGCTTTAACAGTATCTTATATGAAAGATAACAAATACATGTTTTCTTTCCTTGTCCCGATAAAAAGTGTAACCGCCTTAAATATCAAAAAATATCTCAAAAAAATATCGATAAAATATGATAATTTTTCAAAAAAAAATATCACGATAAAAATATTTATTTTTTTCGCAAAAAATATCGATATATTGATATTTTGATATATTTTCGACATCCCTAGTGTAAATATACTATTATAAAGCTATATTAAATCATTTTTATTTATTGTTTCTAGTAGTTTTTTGAAATTATTTTTTTTTCACCATTCTCTTCACGATTTATTTAGAGTAAAGTTTAACTTTCTCTTAACAAAATAAACACAAACTTTTGGTAAAAAAAATGCTTCGTCGATTCGACGACGCAAAATCGCAAAAGATCGAAAAATGAAAAAAAGGTTTTTTATTTTTTGTTTTTAAGTATATTCTTAATATGAAAATGAATTATTATTTCTAATTTTGAACTGTTATAAGTATGAATTAAACGCTGTACAATTTTTTTTACAATATTGTTTGTTTTTTTAACAATTATTCTTATTTTAAAATTGGCGTCGTCGATTCGACGAAGCATAACCTTAACGTAGGAAAAAATAATCATGACCGTCTAGGGTTAATATATGAAAGACCCCAAATAAATGAGAAGTCTTCATTCGTTGAGTTTTTGTAAGAAACTGGTTTATTTCATTCCAATCCTAGCTTATATAGCTAACATGAGAATGTACATTTAGATATTAGTTCTAGACCCACGCATCGGACAGTTCCCGATCGTGAGAAATATTTTAAGTATGATAAGGGTGCAAACAGTCACCCCGAAAGAACATATCTTAAACAAACCCAGACCGCTCACAGGAGGTCATATTTCGGGTTGCTTGTATTACACAGGCCCAAATGGCGGGTTTACTTAAAGATATACAAGTACAGTGCAGAGTTTTAATGCGTGACACATGCATCTTATCTATATTTGTGTTCATGCGTGAACAATATATCTTTATTATTATAAATATTTATTAAAAGCATTAAGGTATAATCATTCATTTTTTCGGATCATAATATCTTTAACTGTAACAAAAAGGAAAGGAACAGTCGTACAATAAAAAAAAGGTTTAATTATTTTATAACAATCTTTTCTTTTAACCAAAATGGCTTATAGCTTACTTACGGTTTTTCATGATTTTTAAAGCGGTAGCTTGGAAAATTTGTTCAAATACCATCAAATGTGGTAAGTCTAGGCTCTGTAAATATAAAAAAAGAAATCGTTTTTGAAAACGATGCCTTTTTTTATATGAAATCAGATCTTATAAACTAATGAAAAAAAAAGTTACTTCAGTGGTCTATTGATGTCTATTCGACACCACCAAAAGATCAATCTGGGACGTAGTTATTTTATAAAAAATTTATTTCTGACCCCACCTCAGATTTGACCAACAAATTTGTTGCCGTGTTCAACAAGATTTTTCGTTTTGGCGATAGGTCGATATCACTAAGGCTGCCATATTGTTGGTGGAACGCAACTGCCGAGTAAGCATACTTATAAAATATAAAAGAATTTATTAATAACTTTAGAGGAGAGTCAAAAATGTTGTTTATAAATAATGATATTTAATTTGATTACTTAAATTAAAACTGTGAAAAATGTGGCAGCATCTGATGATGCCTAGATTGGCTTAAGGGGGTCTTCTCATTCAAAAGCCGTTTTTTGGATCCTTTTTAAAAAAATTCTTATTTGAAAACGCAAAGAATAATTGAAAACTTTTTTTATTTATTGTATTCAAAAATGTTCAAAGTAACTAAAAAAGTGCCTCGATACGAGGGTTGTTCAAAGAGTAATGAGACTTCAAACTTGGTGGTCGAAAAAAAAGGTGTCGTCCTGGCGGCCATGATTCAGGGTCTCTAGAGCGTCCGAAATGAAAAAAAAAACGGGGTTATAATCAGAATAGATGTCATTTTCGGGTGACGGAACAGATTTTTTTTAAAATTTTTTTAAACAAAATGGAGGCCATTCAAAAAAAAAAAATTTCGATTTCGGGCTTTTTTTTGTAGTTTAGTGTAAAAAAAAAATATAAAAAAAATTTTAAAAAATTCTGTTCCGTCACCCGAGAATGGTGACAATTCTGCGTCGATTCCATTGTTTCATGAAAATCGGTTCAGTTGAACTGGAGATATCATGGCCGCCAGTTCGAAAAACGTGGTTTCGAGATAAACGCGTTTGAAGTTTGAAAAAAGCTCATTTTGCGAAGACCTTGCTTCACAAAAAAGGCTGTATCTTCTAAAGTATTTCGAATTTCTAAAAATCCTTTTGGGGACATATACACAGCATCCCAAGCTATAAATAAAAGCAAAAAAAAAAAATCGAAAAAAAAAGTTGCCCAATGAGAAGACCCCCTTAACTCCAGCACTTTTTGGCTTTTCCTGGCTTCGAAATAAGCAATTGTAAATATAAAAGGCAGTTCTTCACTTTGTTTGCTTTTTACCAAAAAATCAAGTCAACTGGTTGATCAGTAAGAAACGATAAGAAAACGAAACATTTCAATAGCAAAAAGTTGTCAAAACCGGAGCAGCTAAAAACGAAATCGTACGATTTCGCCCAAAACGAAAACGAAAAATTTTTCCGATTACCGGAGCTGGCCTGATAATCTCTGGGATCTGTTGTTACCTAAAGACGGACAGACAGCTATGCCTATATAGATTTGGCCGGTTATGCAGTTTAAGAATATGTACTTTATAGGGTCAGAAATGCCTGCTTCTGTCTGTTACATACATTCATGGTTGACTCTAACTCTATATGGGTACCATGTATAAAAAAAAATTTGAGTTTTAATTTAATATTAACGATTCGCATTGTTTTTTTTTTTTGTTATACATGAAAATACAAACAAATAAAACAGGAACACTTGAAAGTGGTCGAGTTATAATTACTCAAAAGCTTTTTGCGTCAAATAATGATAAGAATGGTTTTAAAAAATAACATTCCCCGTAAGAACCACATGTAGATTGTACGATTCAACGAGTTCCAACTCCTGCCCACAACTATACGACACCCCGAAAACTCTCCTTTCTATTCTCGTAAGAAAATTGGGAAATTAAGGATACCATATTCTATCAATACAAAATTAAAGAACTGAAAGTAGGTTCGGTTAATCCGGACGACCCTCGTGGGACCACACATAGAACAATATGGCCAATAGCTATCCGGGAAATTGCTGTATGGACCTAGAGACTATTTGTACGGGTTTCAAGATCCTTGAATATAAAGGCTTCCTGGCTTCCTGGAGGCATCTTCTAGCGCTTCCAGCACTGGGGAGCCTAGGTATCTCATTCTTGCCCTAGTTAGGGCCGGACATTTTCAAATGAGATGCTCCAAGGTTTCGGTTGCCTTGGATCTTAGGATTATTAGGTCTCGTTACCGTCTATGCCTTGGTGGCTGGGAACCCAGTAGATCCTCACTGACTTAGTCGTGCTCAGGCTATCTAGTGACTCC